TATTGGTGAGAAAGATCCCCAGTAAGTTGAATGACCTAAGGCTTTATCATGGTAGAAGTGGGATTCCTTAGGTCTCTCGACCACTAGGACCTTCTATAAACCATTACTCCCATCAATGCCTGCTCTCACCTATTGACTCTTGACCCCTCTTTCATTCATTCATATGTATATGTTAGAGCTACCTGATTCACAATCTCCTGCTGTCTTTAATGCACACAATGTGGTAGCCAAAAATGGTCTAAGAGAGGTGATTTTTACACCTTTCAGAATGTGAGACTAGTTCTTGGTAAAATTCTGTTTAAACGAAGAACAGTACCATGATGTGGCTCTTAATACTATGGATCTGGCAGAGTCTGAGAAAGCCTTTGAATTCTTTCTTATGTGTTTCATAAATAAATTTTTAAAATGATGCTCAGTTCCCATTTTAAAATGGAACAGTATTGAGGAACAGGAAGGATAACTCAGTGATTAAGAGCTCATGATAGGCAAATTTGATTGTCTATTTACTAAGCTCTAGATTCTATGTAGAAACAACTCTCTCTCTCCTCTCATGTCTAAAGCATGAACCTCTCTAATGGGGAGCTTTTGAGTATGAATCATTGTTTACCAACTTACACAGCGTAGGCAGCCTGTAGAGGACCTCCTTTTGCCTTGTGCGGGAAAGAAACCTGCTAGGTTTTTAACAGTGCTGGCAATTGCTCTGGATTGTTCTAGTAAAACTTTAAAGCAGGTATTAAGTAAACAAGAAAGAGAAACTATAAGTATATTCTATGGAAAGATGTACATATACTGTTTCTGTTCCTCTAGAGTCACAAGCATACAGCAAACAGTGCTATGTTGGAAGATTCAAGTGACATCATTTGTTTGTAATTTATAGTTAGAAAATTCAGATGGTATATTTAACTTAAAAAATTAAAGATTTAAATAGTTATCTAAACACCATAACTGTTCTTTACTTATTTTATTCATGATATTGTCTCAAGGCTGAGATGATTAGAAAAGCTTTCTTCAGCCCTCTATTATTTTATCAGTATAACAGAGAAAGTAGTAAGATCTTATTTTCTAGTTTTGCTGACTACTTTTTACAACAGATTTCCAGGATAAATGATGGCAATATGTTTACTTTCAAAGGAGACTTAATTACTTTTCTTTTAATTCCACAGAGTTAATGAAATTGTCACATAAGCCTGGTCACCTCAGTTTACTCCCTAGATGGAAGATAAAACTAACTCCAAAAAGTTGTATCTGACCTCCACATACATGTACCTCTCTCTCTCTCTCTCTCTCTCTCTCTCTCTCTCTCTCTCTCTCTCTCTCTCTCTCTCACTCACTCACACACACACACATAAAATTTTAAAGCTATAAATTAAATCCTGTTTTTGTATTCACTGTACTCTGAAAATATCACACTTAATCAGTTTGATTCTTTTCATTTTTGTCACGTAAAAGATGCTCTATTCACAGCATTTCACTGTCTTTATACTCATTATCATCATCAATGAGGCTATCACCTGGATTTTATAAAATATATATAAAAAGAACTTAGAGGCTAAGGATAAAAATATTATTTAATATTCCATTTTATTAAACTGATTCTGTTGCAAGTTGGTTAGACTATTCAATGTAAAACTTAAATAGCTATAAGAAAATGAAACATTTGGTTTTAATGTCTAATTTCTCAGGTAGAAATAGATTAAAGAAAACTTACATTTTAAGTAATTAATGTATATTTTTATTTTAAGCAGAAAAATGAGAATTCAGCCTAACTAGTAATTAATAAATTAAGATAATTCCCATCTTTCTACTAAATTATTAAGGAACATAAGGAAAAGTTATTTTTAATAAAGCTGCAAACAATGAAATTATCATATGAAGTGCTACTTCAGTTAAAGGTTGAAAGACAAGTATCAGGATTGCTGATAAATTCAGAAAATTGAAAACTGAAGTAGTTTATGCACACAATATAATTTAGCTTTTCACTAGTTTTCCCTGACACATTATTTAGGTGCCAATATGCTAAATCTGCAGCATCCTCACACAATGGACCATGTGGACCCAATGACCACAGGTTTCGTCCGGGAGTTATCTGTGCTCCAGAGGTCAAAACAAGGACCCAGTATTTGCAGACTTGAGAATGTGAAGACGGAAAAGGAAACTATCTTCAGAAAAACTGTAAGAAGCGCAATGTCCTCCCACTCTCCTTGTTAAGACAAATGATTCAGCAGCAGATGAAGCAATGGAAAGAACTCATTGATGTAATTTATATACCCCATTTTGAGTTTCCTTAACATTACATAGGTTAGGTAACTCTAGTATTCTCTTGAGATATGTTGTTGAAACTAAGGGCAAAGATAGCAAGAACTTTGTTTTTCCACTCTCCTAAGGAATTATCTAAAAGAACATACTTGTTCACATTCATGAGAAATGAGATGTCTTCAAAACCCACAAAACATTTTTCTGAAATTTCATTTAATTGTACACTTAAGAACATGACCTGTTATAAGTTCTCTAGAAATACATTTCTTATCATGCTGTTCAAGCCCTACTAAACTGTTAAGGCAAAAGAGTATAAGTAACAACTTGTAAGCCACTCATGCAGGAAATAAATATGCAGAAGTAAAGTGTTAAGTTGTGGGAACCAATATCCAAGATAAAAAATTACTTGAACTGAAACAATCACCCATACTGTTAATAGTTAACCAAATCTTCCCCTTTCATCTTTTAAGTACATAAGCTCAAAATTTGCCAATACAATATCAGTCTAGTAAATGGAACTTTAATTTCAGTTCAGAAAAAGGAAGGTCAAAAGGAAGGAAAGAAGCAGGCAGGAATGAAGGAAGGAAGGAAAGAAGGAAGGAAGAAGGCAGGAAGGAAGGAGGAAGGAGGGAGGAAGGAAGGAGGAAGGAGGGAGGAAGGAAGGAAGGAAGGAAACTCTGGGAATGTGTTTTGTTTCTTACATTCTTTGTCTTTAGCTTTTTCCTCACCTGTTACTTCCAAAACTCATTTTTGTATATTGTGGCAAGTATAATGCATAATAAAATTTCTGCCAAAAGGAAAGTGTGTTGGCTTAGTAGCACTACATAATGCGTGTAATGTCTTACTCCTCTCATACAATGTGCGTTGGTTGATTCCATATGCATTGGGCATTTGTTCAAGAATACTATTAGTTCATGTAGGATAGAAAACATCATTCTACCATATCGTTCATTATTCCAAGTAGTACTTCAGATCCTGAATCTGTAAGCATGTGCTATTAATTTTATACAGTATAGCAGATACAAAACATCAGTTATAAAAGTGTTTTGAATTGAAAAAAACACACACCCCAAAATTTCAAATTAATTACTCAATATAATATTTTGAAACTTTAAGAGTTATAACCAATAATTGGTGTGAAACACATACTTTATGTCTTTTTTCATATATATATATATGTATACATATGCATATAGTATATAAGTGATATATAGTCAAATATATAGTCTATATATAGGAAAATCAAAATACAATATATACATGTATATATGTATATGTGGTATCAACCAAGAAGTTCGGAAATCTGAATTATGAAAGAAGAAAATGAAATGATCACTATTAATTTGTAAAACCTTATAACAACAAAAATTTTAGTTTGTAGCTTTAAATTTCAGTTCACAAATTCAAATGAACATTATTAAAGGAAGTCATTTTCTTCTAAAGTATGAAAGATGTTTCACAGCTGTTTCTGAGAATCCCTTAGAAAGCTCCTGCTTCGAAGCATAATTGTCAGGGCCAAAGTTGAACAAGTTTTTCTTGGGAGCAAAACTAAAAAGGGAAAACACAAAAGCAATAAAGAATGGAGTCATGAGGAAATCAAGGAATGTTTGTTTAGGACATCACTCATCTCCATCATCTGCCTGATTTAAACGTTTATTACAAAAGCTGCCTAATTGCTGTAAATATCTTCCCACTAACAAAAGACATTTCGTGGATAAAAGCACTTTTCATCAATTTTATTTTAGAAACCCATGTATTCCTATTCTTTACCCAAATTAGGGCTGTGAGGAAGACTGCTAAAGTCCACGGGAACCACATGAAGATCATACCAGAGTACAAAGAGTAGATGTTGCTCTGATCTGAGCCGTGGAAGTCATCTTCGCCTCAATTAATTGACTTTGCCTTTATGCACTTAAGAATCTTTCAAGGGGGCTGACATTTCACTCATAAGAAAAAGCTTGGAATGTGACAGGGGAAAGGGAGGAGAAGTAAATCAAAGAAGTGAACAATTTTCCAGATGCAATGTATTTTTCTTCTTTTTTTTTAACTAGAAATTTTTGGAGATCCTCCTGACATCTTAATTCTCCACACAAAACACAGTAGCAAGAATGTATAAGGAATAGAGCATCAAGAACCACACAGGCATGCTTTTGAGCATGCACGTACCCACAAAACATACATAAATTCCGATCTGTTGCTGCTTTGACTGAAACGTAACCCCGAATTTGCTGGATATCCACATATGCAAGGCAATCAGCATGATTTTAGCATAAAAGCAACCGTACATTTGCTAATGTTTCTTGGTTTTAATCACTAAGTTGCAGTCTTCAAGCTAGCCTCTTCACCTAAAAGTTGCATTTATAAAACCTGCCCAGTTGACTAGACTTTAAATCACACCAGAATATTTCAGCTGTCACCTTTACCCACATGGTTGCAAGAAATTGCCCAGATATTTCATGCAAATACCAATCCATTCAGAAAGTCTTCCCCCACCCCCTGAGTAGAAATTCACCAAGACATTGAAAGGTTAAAAAAAAAATCTGGAGACTCGAAGATAAATTCTGGGCAACAGAGTATATGTCCATTGTGTCTTTGAGCCAAAGAAGGGGAAATGGCGTTAGTTCTCAAAGCTCCCTGGTTCAATATTGCCTTTTCCCCCAGGGTGTTTCCTCGTTTATCAGGTATCATTTTACAAGGGATTTCTTGTATCCACAACTAGCATAAATCAGTCTATCACAGAAGGATTTGTTTAATACATTTATTCCTTTAAGAAGTTGCATGACCATATTTCATTGACTTGTACAATAGGAAAAAAAACTTACTACTAAAACAGAGTTTGTGGAGGCTAGTGCATGGTAAACCTATTTAGTCCTTTCAGAGGTCCATTCTTAGATTTTAATGTTAAATAATAACAACTATTCATATAAGCTGGTCTCACTGTATATCTTGACCGTTAGCCTTCCACACACAGCAGCTTATTGTGGTACCCATTAAATATGAGAAATAAGAATGTCTTACTTTGCTATGAAAAGAAAAATAAAACAGTACTGTATGTTACATGGCCCATGAAATATTGGCGGTGTGCTCCTTGGCTTTCATTCTCAGAACAGCGATACTGGAAGACCTCCTTTCAAATTCTGGCTTTGTTTCAAATGCGTGTCCGTTGGTAGCCCCAGTGAGAAGAGAGTCAGTGAAAAAATTGTTGAGGGGCACATGGCTGAACTGATTCTGGTGGTTTGAAAATCCCGTGTAACTGGAATCTGTCCGAGGCGAGTGAGAATAAGGTGTCATGCAGGAGGACGCATCACGTGGTAACATGCATGACGTAACCACAGAACCACCACTTGCATTCCCCGGCCACAAATTGTTCTGAATCTGGAATGTATGAAACAACAAATGTTACATGCACACATTCTCACTTTTACCCTTTCACTTTCCTTAGGTTTACGAAATTGGGTTAGCTACTCATTATTTGACCCTATTAGAAGGTCTGTAATTTCCTTCTAAGTTTACAAAACAGTGGCTGGAAAACAAGTCAATGAAAAAATTATTACAGTTTGTTTACTATAATAGATCATCAAAGCTCGCATACTTAACCACAGAAAATACTCCCAGAAAACAAAAATTTCTTAGATATTCTTGATACAGTCATAATTTTAAGATGCACACGGGCTACGTAGTCAGGACTCACAGTTTCTATTCATGTGTTTAAGGAAGGAACTTGAAACATGGTCTTAAATTTAAAGATGATATTCATCTTTCTAAACACAGTGATACAGCTGTGTCTTTTTCCCAGTTCTGAAGCTGGAACGGTGGTTTTCACAGGAAATTTTTGCCGACATTTAAGTAGTTTTGTCTAAAATATTTTTAAAACTGTATTCATTCAGAAATTATTTCCCTTTTATTGCTTCTTGTGTCCTATATCGACACTTCAGTAAACTGCACTGAGAGTCTGAAATATACACATTTTAATTATCTGTTATCTATATATGGTATGGGGAATTCAAAACAGATATGTGACATGTAAAACAAACTTGTAATTCTAAAACATTAAACATTACCAAATAACAGAAGTACAGGTGAAAAACTGCAAATGTTAGGATGTCGTGTGGGTACAGTTAAAGTACTACAAACATCACATATGCAAAAAAAGGTACAATTTGTGCCAAACAAATTCAACATGCATATTATTAAGTCTCTAAGGAAGATAAGTAAGCAAAATAAAACATTCAAGCACCAATTTTCAAAGTTAGTAGCATATAAAATGAACACTATGGAGAATTTTTAAAATGAGAATTTTAAATAAAAAGTATCCCAATCACAATAGGCAATGTAATTAAACAACAAAAATGAACAGGCCACATAAATTACAGGGAGACACACAGAAAATTATGACAAGTGGAATTGAAGAAAAGGAAGAGAAGAGACTATTATGTGGAAAAGCAGGGCAAAGTGATGCAGCCTCGGGAGATGAAATAAAAACGAATGCATGTGCCTTCTCTTTTGGTTTTGTTTCTGGCCTGTGCTCTTCTGTTTTGCTTTCCGAAACAGAGACTGGCTATGTAGTATATAGGAAAGCCTAGAATTTGCCATGTAGCCCAAGCAAGGCTCAAGCTTCCAGTCCTCCTGCTTCAGCCACCTGAATTCCTGGGATTACAGGAATGCACACCACTCCAGGCATGTAACTTCTAACTGTTTATAACACATTCAAACTAAACATGGCACCAGTATGTGTTGTCATGGTATCTGTCTTTCTTCTATTTAAGTCATGATGAAAAATGGAATCATCAATGCTTTTGACACATAAGGATGTCTTGTAATTTGCGTATTCCAGGCTTCTACAGAGAACCTCTGATATATTCTTACAAAACCCAAGTTGAACAACACTCTATGACAACCTATGTTCTATTAATAACAGAAAAAATGTATTCATGTATCTAGCTCACACTAGGGAAGTTGTTTTGTGATTCAAACAGGATGGTGTATTTGTTTCTGAAACATGAAAGAAAATGTATACAAATGATTTTAACACTTGTGTGCAGTATCTCACAAAAATACTTACTGACCAAAAAATACTTATTTTTGTGTTGTTCTAAAATGAGTTCCTAATATAAATATATTTAAAATGTTGTTGTAAGCTAGTGTGTATCTTTATGTAACTATAATATAAGTTCACAGAGTTAACTGGTGTGCCTACATATAGATAAATATAATCTTTTGTATGTTTGGTTAGTCCTTAAATCATCATGGCCTGTGTTGTTTTCCTGTTGGCCTACTCCTCTCCACACATTTCACATCAGCCAAAATAATTGCTGAGCTCTGTATCTCAAACCAACAAGAGGGCTGCTAATGCCGTTACTCCATCAAACTAGCTCTTCTAATGTAATATGGGTGCTTTTCTTTACACTCAATCTAACATTGTAAAATGATGCAAAACCCACAGCCATGTGACTGAAAAGGCTTTCAGGAAGGAAGGTAAACTGGTTTGCTTATTTAAAAATGAATTAGAACAATGTGAGGTGCACTCTCACCCTGAACTCTTGGGGAAGGGTCTAGGCCCTGCCCTATATGAAATGACAGACTATGGACACCCCCATGGAGGGCCTCACCCTCCCTGGGGGAATGAGGGGATAACGGGGGGGGGATGGGGGGAGGGCACGGGAGGAGGGGAGGGAAAGGGAGAGGGACCTCGTACTGACTTGTGAAGCAACCTTGTTTCTTATCTAAATTTAAAATGGAAAATAAAAAAATATTAATAAAAAAAAAAAAAAAAAAAAAGAAGATGACAAAAAATAAAAAAAAAAAAAAAAAAAAAAAAAAAATGAATAGTGATAGGGAACATTTACTTGCCTGTCTGCATTAAAGTGTTTCCCAATTTATAATATCACTAAAATTTATTATGGTCATATATTATATTCCACATGCATAGAAATATGTCTCCAACCAGTTACATAGTGAAGGGAAGGGGAGAAAGGCAAAGAAACAATCTACAAACTTAAAGAAAGAAAATATTTATTATGGAAAGAATTAACATTAATCTACTTGAAAATCTAAAAAAAAATCTGGAATCTATTTCAGTGAAAAACATTAAAAGGTAAATGATTTTATTATGGCATAAACGTTATCTGGATCTGATCAAACATATCAATGTATTATTTGTGATAGAAAAAGTTCCTAATATGCAAGGTATTTTCTGAGGAGACCAAATTGATAGAGTGAATTACTCATAGCAATATTTTAGTTTGGATATGCAAACATTTTGAAGAACTTGAAATTTCCTCCCCCGCATAAAGAATTCTCAGAAACTTTTCCTAATACATTCTTTCCCCATGCTGTCACTCTATCCCTCCTAGCTTCTGCCCCAAATACATCTTTTATTTTCAAAATAGACTTCATGGATCTAATGGGTTTCTATAGCAAAACATCGGGTGCAAATTTTTAGGGAACATACCACAAGAAAATGGTGATTTTATTTACTCTAAAATACTGCCTCTGCCTTAGATCTAGTACTTGACAGCTAATGAACATTAGTTAATTAGCATGTGTGGCATAAACTACAAAGACTTTTATCTTAACACAAATACATGTTTTTTTTTAATCTGTTGTAGAAGGTAAGTCAAAAACAAACAAACAAACAAAAAAAACAGAGACCTGGGACTTTAACTCAGACTACATAACCAATAAGGTTAAATCTGACCCAAAGAAATCAAAACACAGTAAAATAAGGTGACTATTTTTATAAGTTACATTTGATTATTTTTGTACACACTTCCAATTTCATAATTCAAAGGCTCTACTGTATGATAACAAATCCAGTGATTATTCATCATAATTATTTTGCTTATCTTGACCTGTAAAAATAAATAATAAACCCTTCATATAATATATTGAATGATTGAAAAGTTCCTACGAATGTGAAATTTAAACAGATCAATTACTGCGAGTCTGATAAAAATTTAGAAACTAATTAGATTAGTACAGTTAATGTATGTTTGTGGTTGAACATATAAATCATCAAGTATAATCATAACAAAAATCATACTCAGATTCTTCTATCTTGCTATCTGTATTTATGCACAGGGTTTTTGTCATGAAAACATATTTTCCATCACAGATCCATTTAAAATGTACTTACTCATTAAGTATGTCATATCAGAGCATAGAATCTGTGTCAAAATGATAGTAGTGATAAAATATATGATGCTGTTTTAAAAATCAGTTGAAATTAGAAAACACTAGTGGAGTTCATCTTCCAAATGCAATTAAACTCTCAACAGCTTAAACTTTTTCATTTCCTGTGGCCACAAGTTCTACTACTTTGTAAAAATTCCATTCTTTCGTTTGTGTTCCATAAAATGACACTGACTAACCACTATTTCTATTATTATGACAAAATTCCCATGTCTTGTATTTTCAGGTTTTCATTTCTAGGCCTCTCAACCACTTCTAAAATAATATGTTCCTATAGATATGTTTGAGCTGCCAATCGCCTTCATTTTCAACTGTCATTGGGGCATCTACAATGGGTTTACTATATGATAGGTACATGAGACTTGCAAGGGTCATCATTACAGGAAATCACCTGTTTTTATTAGGTTTATGCTTGAAGGCAATAGATGATAAAACAGCTAAATTCACTGCAGTCCAGACATCCTATGCATATGCCAATTCTATTAGGTCTATACTAGAACCTACAAATTGCATAATCTAAAATTGTGCACTCCTTCTTTATGAATGCCAAGCTATGAAAAATCTCATCCTCCTACCATAGCAAAAAAATGTTCTAATAATTTGACTTTTAAATTGGGCAAGTTTCTTTTTGGATTATTTCACAGAGATGACACTCTGCTTATATTTTCCTATTCAAATAGGAAATCTAACACTTATCTCACATATTTGTAATTATGGAGAAAGTTATTTTGTTTGTAAGCACACACTAAATCACATTCTTTTTTCTTCAAGACACTGAAAGCATCAGAAAAAAGAAATATGGGGGTGTGGGGTGCAGTGTGTAGGATGCGGTGTGTGGGGGTGTGTGTGCCTGCCCATGCGTGCTTATAGATATCTTCAGTTTGGACACATATAGGTAGTGATTTGAAATCTCATGACAAATCTTACTATTATATAACTCCTTTATCTTGGAAACACCGTGGAGATACATTCCTTGCAAGCAAGTTGAAAAGCACATATTAGTATCCTAAAAATGGTACATGTTTACATTGTAGGTTTCCTTGCAACTTTTAATAGTTTTTAAAATAGATTTTAAGGAGAAACACTGCCTTTTCCTTTATCTTAGCAAAGAAGCTTGCTATAAAAGAGTTTCATGATAACATTTTATCTTCTCAATGCTGATGTAGACTATTTAAGTAGTATTA